ATTATTATTATTATTATTATTATTATGGTCATATTAGGACCACACACTTGATGTTTCATGACTCACGGTGGGGTCGTGACCCTAACTTTAAGAACATCTGGGATATTGAAGAATATTAAGCTGAAATATTCAGATTTAAAGATAATTAAAGTTCTCCTTTTAGCCACAATTGTAAGTAACCTTTCTTACAACGCAGGTTTTAATTTTGTTAAAAGTAAAACTTAAAGCTAAAAGTAAAAAAAAAGGCTAAAGGAAGTTTTTACGCAAACAAGCTAACCACCTGGTCACAGCCGTGATTGCTGCTCATTTCCGCCAACTGAGCCTCAGCTCAATTAGCCTCCAGGTCAGAGGAGAGACATTACGACCGACTAAAGAGATTCGGAACCGGTGGGTCAGGGAAACGCCCGCAGACTCATTCATCCACGGAGCTTCACTGAGCTAACTCTGCTGCTAGCTGCTGAGCCGTGAGACCCACTTCGGAGATTTGAGGCTGATAAAACAGCGTTAAGAACCTCCTGCACAGATTCATGTTTCCACACGGAGAAACTGTCAAATGCAAGTCTGAAAGTTTCACAAACAAGTCGTTAAGGGTTTCTTTTCGTTGTTGGGTCATACCTTTTGGAAGTGACAGCAGCAGCTCCTCTCCTGCGATCGAACCCAACCTTTACTGAGCCGCGCCGCTGATTGGAGGAGATGTGAAGTACGCCCACAAACAAGCTCAGCTTCAGGCCTTCTGATTGGCTGACTGGAGAGCACGAGGAACTTATGTGTTTTTTAAGGTGCGTTCAAYGACGCGCAAAAGTCGGACTTTTTCCTGTCTCCTCAACAAACACTAAAATTGACAAAATGTACATCCTGCTACGAGATGTTAAAGTTCCATGAGAGGATTTATTGAAGATTAGGCGTTATGTATCACTGTCTAGAGAGAAACGTTAACAAAAAAAATAAAAGTTCACTTTTTATATGCGGGGTAAATAAGACATTAGAAAGTACATATAACTAATTTCAGTTTGTGTTTTAGTTAGTTCAGTTTACCTGTAATCCTTTGATTAATGTTTTTGCAGTAGTAAAACAACAAAACAAAYTGGGATATCAAAAACGGACTGATTTTAAGTTTTTGAAGCCGTGTGTCCGAGGTACTTTAAACTCGGTGGTGTGTGTAAGTTTAAAAGGCCTCGCCCTTCGCGCACCACGATTTGAGGTTCACTTTTAGAAGGAGCTAAAAACGACCATAAATGGTAACCAATGCGCTACAGTGATTGGCTGAATGACACGTCAATCATGTCAACTTTACAAAAAAAAACTTGTTGGGACAACTTTGAGCGTGTACTTCCAGACTTTTTTTAATTTGGAAAAAAAAATTAAAATAATATTCAACCATATAAACAAGAAGTAAAATGTCCGATAATATAGATATTTTTACTTTGGGGAACAAGAAATCCAACAACATTTGTAGAATTTGAAGATGAATATGTAAAAAATAAGAAGTATTTAAAAAGTACACAAATTCCCGGTTGAAATGCAACAAAGTAGAACATCGAAGGAATAAATGTTTTTGCAATCCAGTTTAAAATAACAACCTTAAATCCAAGGGTTATAAAAAGTTGATAAAACAACATTTGAAACAATAAGGCAGGGCTATTGAACTGGCGGCCCGCAGGCCACATCCGGCCGCGAGTGACCAAATTTCGGCCCGCCAATTAGTTCATTCATCCCTTAAGCCCAAATCCCCGGTTTTCTACTTTAATTACTTTAAGTTCTTTCAGTTAAACATATACATGTTTGGTTTCTACAGAAATGTCAGAATCTTGGCTAGAACCTGGTGAAAATATTTTCTATGCAGACTCAAGACAGTTAAAATTACAAGTAGTTGAAGATAAAACTATAGTGAAAATAATATTGGTTTAAATTTTTGACGAGTCAGATATGTCAAAATAATATTTGTGTCAAATGTGTTGTTTTTGTTTTTGATATTGTTTAATTATCATGATTCTCTTAAGGTTCTGTATGTTGTCCTGATGCATCTCAGTAATCCAGGTAAAAAAAATCAAAAGGAAAAAAAATTGTATAGGTCCTCTGGACGGGTTCTTCTTTAATGAAACGTTTCGTCTCTGGAATCAACCTACTTCACGTACGGAGGGCAATATTATAGGCAGAAACATGGGTGTGCCATGGGTTCCCCAGTTTCTCCTATTGTTGCAAACCTGTACATGGAGGAAGTGGAAAAGAGAGCCTTGATGTCCTTTTCAGGGGTGCCACCGAGCCATTGGTTCAGATATGTTGACGACACCTGGGTTAAAATTAAAGCCCAGGAAGTCCAACATTTCACTGATCRCATCAACTCTGTGGATGAATATATTAAGTTCACACGAGAGGATGTAAAAAATGGCAGGTTGGCGTTCCTGGATTGCGATGTCTCGGTTTCGGATGGAGGACGGTTGGAAACTGGTATGTATCGTAAGCCCACCCACACAGACCAATATTTGCGTTTTGACTCCCACCACCCACTGGAACACAAGTTAGGAGTSATCAGGACTCTGTACCACAGAGCAGACAGTGTCCCTACAAACCCAGGAGCCAGGCAGAAAGAGAAATCACACACACGACAGGCCCTGGAGCAGTGTGGTTATCCTGACTGGGCTTTCCTGAAAGCAGACAGGAAACACAGACAGGATTCCATGCAACCTTCAGGTGAAAATGAAGACCCCAAACCCAGACCCAAACCAGTGGTTATTCCGTATGTTGCGGGTGTTTCGGAGAAACTGAGACATTTATTTTCTAAACATGATGTCCCAGTAGCTTTCAAACCCCAAAACACATTACGGCAAAGGCTGGTTCACCCCAAAGATCCGGTGCCCTGGCACAAACAGAGCAATGTTGTATATGCTGTTAAGTGCCAGGAGGACTGCGACCAGTTATACCTCGGGGAAACAAAGCAACCACTGTTCAAAAGAATGTCCCAACACAGACGAGCTACATCTAATGGCCAGAACTCTGCAGTTTTCACTCATTTACAGACCAGCGGTCACTCTTTCAGAGATGAGGATGTTCTCATTCTTGATAGAGGAACGTTGGTTTGAGAGAGGAGTAAAAGAAGCCATTTTTGTGAAGAAAGACCGTTCATCATTAAACAGAGGTGGGGGCCTCCATTTTCAGCTGTCCCCCTCCTACAGCGCTGCCATTGGCAGTATCTCTTCACCCCCTGTTAACAATAGGTATTAATTAGGTGTGAACGATAGCCATGTGATGGGAGTATCAGTCACCTGGAGGCAGGACTCAAAAGCCTGAATTTTGCCTGAAACTCTCAGACTGAAGAAGTCTCTTGGAGGAGAGATGAAACGTTTCATTAAAGAAGAACCCGTCCAGARGACCTATACAATTTTTTTTTTCCGTTCTGTATGTTGTATTCATGATTAAATACAGCAAAAATAAACAATTTCAAAGTTAACAGATCTTTTTAATTGGTTTATTTACATAATAACTTTAATTGCTGAATGTTCAGCCCCTGAACTTTTGACCTGCATTTTCCGTGGCCCCCAGAGCAATTAGTTGAATAGCCCTGCATAAATCATTAAAAATTGTCAACATATGATTTTAGTTGATAGATCTGTGACTGTGTCGTCTTTTCGCCACCAGAGGGCAATGCAGACTTTTTGTTTACCCAGCCAAACTGAACACACCAAACAAAAGTGAATAGAGGCCATTTTTGAAGGAATTTTTGGAATAAAAACAATGCATATCATTAAATTGCTATACACAGACACACAACTGTGAGTAGCATTTTTCTTTAGCACAGTGAGTTCAGATTTTACATGAATATTTCACCAGAAACTTAAACTTTTTTTCTCTTTTGTTTATTTTATTCTGTATGACTTTTAAAAGTATCTTTTAAGCCATTTATTTGCCAGCTTAAAACACGCATCTTGTGTTTGAAAACAGTTTGGAGAGCTGACCAGTTGTCAGATCTATTATTACTCTGTCCAAATATAGGATGTTATTTAAAGTCCAAGCCCACAGAGCAGCTTTCGCGTGTTGTTTGGCTGTGAGGAGAACCGGTTCAGCTGTTTACTCTGAACTTCATGTGAGTTTATTTTAATGTAAGCATTGTATTTATTGGAGTTTTCCTCTGAGAATAAAATGTATTTAAACTGATTGCACAGTTTTATTGCTAAGCGTTGCACCAGTTCTCTGCACTCACAGATACGTAATGTTTTGAACTGAATTGCAACCAGTGTGTGTCACATATCTGATGTAGAAAAGATGGCAAAATAAGGCTATGTTGTTAAATCCTCAAATATTTCAGCTACTGAGAAGTAAGACATGAAATAATTCTTCTCCGTCTTTCGGCTTCTCCTTTTATGTGTCGCCACAGCAGATCATCTCCCTGCACCTCACCCTTTCCCCTGCCTCCTCTACTGTTACACCGACCATATGTTGTTTACTAAAAAACTAACAATGTTTTAATTTTTTTTGTCAACTTTCATCTGATCAGGATGGGGGACTCGCAACAGTTTGACTTCTACCAAACAGGATATTCAGGGTATTATGTAGATAACCAGGGTCGCACTGTGGCTTTCTACGACCGTGAGTAAGTGCTGCCTTTTAAATCACTTCAACTCTAGAAGCAGCTCAGTGTACTGCTGATCTTCAGAGAACATCTCGTCATTTAAAAAAGAAAAGGTTATGCTCGATCATAGTTATTAGTAAAGGAAAGTTTTGTATTTATCACCACTGTAACCTTTATTGAACCCATAGAAAAGTGTTCAAACTTAAAAGCTAAAGAGGCAAAGAGCAGAATAGACGATTGCTGGACTTCTAGATCCCAAAAGGATCTTTGATTTGATTTGTCTCTGTTTTGATTCAGTGAAGCACAGAACACTCAGGATCCTTTCATGGAGCAGCAGTACACTGGAGAGGTCTATCAGCCGACACATGCTGCCACCTATGGAGAGACTCCTGAGGATGAACCTCCTCTTCTTGTTGGTAAAAAGATGCAGCTTTTATGTTATAAAGACCATGTGAGAGTTGTCTAGATTTACACACCCACCCATTAACATAAACACCGCTAAATGCAAGTCTTTCGGTAAAATCATAGATTTTCTTTGTGGTTTATGATCATCTTTTCCTGTCTGTGGATTTTCCAGAACTTGGAATTGATTTTGACCACATGTGGCAGAAGACGCTGACTGTGTTGAACCCCTTCAAGCCTGCAGATGGCAGCATCATGAACGAGACTGATCTGACAGGTCCCATCCTCTTCTGTATCGCACTGGGCGTCACTTTAATGATGGTAACTCACTGGTCTTGCTTTAATCTGACCATGATGGTTTGGCATCATTTTGTGAAAAAAAGCCACTAAACACTACTCACTATTTGAATTGAATTTAACTGTGCAATCCCTATTTCCCACAACCTGTGTCCAGGCAGGTAAAGTTCACTTTGGGTATGTGTATGGGATCAGTGCCATCGCCTGCAGTGGGATGTACATCCTGCTGAGCCTGATGAGCTCGCTGACCGTCTCATACGGCTGTGTGGCCAGTGTCCTCGGCTACTGCCTCCTGCCGATGTTGGTCCTTTCTGCATTCGCTGTCTTCTACTCTCTGCAGTAAGACTGTCTTTATACTGCACTCATCCATCCATCCGTCTGTCCATCCATCCATTTATCCATCCATCCATCCATCCGTCCATCCACCCATCCATCCGTCCATCCATCCATCCATCCATCCGTCCATCCATCCGTCCGTCAATCCATCCATCCATCCAATGGATGGATGGATGATCCATCCATCCATCCATCCATCCTTCTATACAACAATTTTCCATCCATCCATCCATCCATCCATCCATCCATCCATCCA